TCTTTTATTTTAATATATATATAATTTATATATTATAATTAAAATTGTATGCAACATACACGAGCTGTTGAGCATAAGTAGAGTAGCAGTGAAAAAGTTAAAATATATATAGATATATTACAAATTCTTTTTAACGACTAGAAACCATGTAACAATTTATTTAGGTCAAATTTACATAAAACATTTAAATACTATTGAAAATTAATTTATACTAAAAGGAAGATGAAAAATAAGAAAATATGACTTAACTAAGTTATTTACATTGCATAATTTGAAATAATTCATCGATTGAAATATTATATAGGTACTAAATATAATGTAAATTTGAGTTTTGTTGTGGATAAGCATTAATTCTGTAAACAAAAGAAATAACAATATATCTACAATCAATTGCCAATTAACAACCAATATATAGGTACATTATACTTGTTTACTTACATTGGCTATATCTATATATATTTTATTTTAGATTTTATTTGAACGTAATAAATTGACAATGCGTACTAAAAAAGTCATTGACACTATGCTCTCTAGTGCTGTTAAAGATGCTCTAATCCCTGACATCGAATTTTGGCCATCATCAAAAACCTTGATTACTTTAGCAGAAGGAGACTACTTTAAGCACGAGAATAATGTGGTATATCCGGAAAAATTAAAAACATTTTTGGGCAGTGGTAAATATTATTTAAAATATTTTATATTATTTTTATTAATTATAATGATTAATGGCATACCATTTTATTTAGCTTACGCCACACTTTCATATGTTATCTCGGTCTTGAAAATATACAACATAGCAAATTTGAATCCTTAAGTTCTAATTTTGTGTATTATGCTTTTATAATAGAGTTAATTGAATAATTTTATAATTTAAATGTAACAACATCTATGTTATCTCATAGGTTTTTACTATATATTTACATTTTTAGGCAAGTTATAAGTACATAAAATATTACTATTTAAAAATTCTTTTAACTTTCTAAGGATTAAAATAACTCCGGATAAAATACAGATAATGATTTTACCTTTAAAGTTGATAATATGTAAATTCATTCTGGTAAAAGCTTACTATGTAAAATTAGAACTGCTGAATTCAAATTTGATATGTTGTACGCTCATTAATACGGAGATAATACTGCATGTATTATGCAGCATGTTTGCATGTAAGCTTGCATAGCTTAGCATTATAGCAATTTTATAATTGTTTTAATTTATTCCAGACTCTGACTTACAATTGAATGCTAATGATGAATGTGAGCTTGGTATTCGAAGTCTGGGTGCTATTATATGGTATTTACAGCGATGTAAAATGGACTTCCAACTTTTGTCTAGAGGAAGATTTGATATTTATAAACCAGTTGATGATGAATCTGTTAAGTTATTAAATCAAGATAATATTAACAGTAAACATATGGTAATTGAATTTAATAAAACTTTTCACGTACTTTATTATATAATAATAAGATATGTATGTATAGATGATTAACAGTCATATTATTTTGTGTTCATCTTGAACTATTACAATTATATAATTTATTTCAAATTAAATTTTAGAATTTTTTTTTGGCTTAATAACCAAGTACATATATTTTATTTTTCCCAATGTTTTGTTTCGATAATAATAATTAAATACTTATTTTTAATTTTGAAGCAAGAAAATGTACCTAATAATTATTATTTATAAAATATGGATTTTGATTGTTTTGTTTTGTTTTTAGATCCTTGATGCTATAACACTTAAAAACCTGCATATATTAGAAAACTCAGTGGGTTCAAATGCAGGAACATTACTTAACAAGTTGAATCATTGCTCTACACCATTTGGCAAACGGTATGTGTATTAATTTTTACATAAAAATATGAAATTTTACCCTGGTAGAGAATTATAATTAATACCATGCAATCATATTGTTTAGATTACTACATCAGTGGTTGTGTAATCCATTGACAACAATATCCAGTATTGTAGCTAGACAAAATGCAATTTCTTCTTTAATTGTTATTCCTGATTTAATGCATGAAATACGATCAGAACTGGCCAGTTTACCAGATTTAGAACGTTTGTTTTCCAGGTAAATATAAACATCTATATGAACACATATTTTATGGGATAGTTTTACTATGTAAGACTAATTTATTATTATCTTCAGGATTTATTCTCAAAGTAGTAATGGAGTTGAATCAGACCATGCAGAAACTAGAGCAATATACTTTGAAGAAAAGACTTATTCAAGAAGGAAAATAATGGATTTCATATCGATATTTAAAGGTTTCAGAACAAGCGTTAATATTATGGAAAAATTTCAAAGTAATTTTAACTAACAAAATTGTTCAATTTATACCTACTTAATAATTTGTTGATGAAATATTTATATTTGTAGGAGCTGATATCAAAAAAGAGAGTTCAGAATCTAATTTATTGGCTACTATTTGTAATTACCCTAACAGCTCTACCCCTGGAGTATTTCCTCATTTAACCGAACTTCTTGATAATTTTGAGGTAACTAGAAGAATTCAATTTAATAATTATTAGTTTATAACTATTTACTTTATTTTTAAAAGAAAAAATGTTCATTCAATATTATTATATAAGTTTCTAATTATTACCTACTCAAGGAATGATTTTATTTATTGTTTGTGAAATTATAATAGTTCTACATTTTTTATAGAATTCTTTTGATCATGACGAAGCTATGAAACATGGTCGTATCTTTCCTGAACCTGGGATGGATGATGAGTATGACAGAGTGTTGGAAAGTATAAAAGAAGTTGATGTTGAGTTAAAATCTTATTTAAAAGAACAATGTAAACACTTTGGATGTACTGTAAGTAATTTGTAACTTTGTTTTAAATCTAATTTCAAGTGTTTTTCAAAAACTTTACCTCTAAATTTTTTAAGGTAAATTATTTTGGATCTGATAAAAAACGATATCAGTTAGAAGTACCTGACGCTGCATCAAGGAAAGCTGGAGATGGATATGTACTTCAAAACCAAAGAAAAGGATTCAAAAGATTCACTACAGATCGTACAAAAGTTGGTAAATTTTAATTAATTTTTGTTCGTGGGTTTTAATGTTATTTGCTGTTTAGGAACTTTTGGAGAAAATGATGAGTTATGAACAAGAAAAAATAGATGTATTGAAAAATCTCAGGGAAAGAGTGTTTTCGCGGTTCTGTGACAAGTTTGAGGAATGGAACAATGCCATCCAATGTTTGGCTACTCTGGATGTATTTATGTCGTTAGCAGAATACTGCCGGTGTGAAGAAGAAGTTATGTGTATTCCTAGATTTATTCCAGCTATTGTTGGTAAAAAGGTCAGTCATATAGTTTGGTAATGTAGTTGAGTCTATATTTAATATTACTTAATTTTAAAACATTTTAGTAACAATATTTTACTTCCTTTCCATTATTTAATAACTAGTTATCGCTACTCAACTGTATAAATTAAATATATAAAATAGTTGTTACATACAATTTTAACATTGAGATTGTGGGGCTGCTGTTTATTTGATATTTAGCCATTTGTTGAACTCCTTGAGGGGCGTTATCCATGCGGTTCTGGTGGAGAGAGTTTCATTCCAAACGATACAGTTATTGGAAAGGAAGAAGATGGAACGTGGAATTCTAGTTTGATATTAGTGACAGGTCCTAATATGGGAGGCAAGTCTACATTGATGAGACAACTTGGCATCATCTCTGTTATGGCACATATGGTAAGAAACGCTTGTGGCTGAACCATGGTTCATTCCTCAATGTTTATTAGCTTAAGAATTTCAAAACTAAAATTGGTAAAATTGAATTTCATATTAAAAATATTAATTTCAGTAATCAATAATGTGTGATAAGTAATGTAAGTAGTTGCAATAAGTTTCAGCTTAAACTTAATAACAGTTTAAGTAATAACTGTTTTCAACTAACAGTTTTTAAAATATGTTAGCAAATTAATCCGAAACAAATATTAAATGTTTAACTTATATTTCTAATTGATGTCTAATTTAATAATATACATTGATAATTGGACAAAAAATTGCTGAATTTGTTTGTGCTAAAATAACAAAAGTCAACTTGTTATTTAGGGTTGTCGTGTTCCTGCAAAAAGCCTTCTTCTCAATCCAATTGACAGGATATTCACGAGGATTGGAGCCAACGACAATATAATTGCAGGAGAGTCAACATTCTTTGTTGAATTGTGTGAGACATCAGCTATACTTCATCATGCCAGCCGGTTTTCATTAGTCTTAGTTGATGAACTTGGTTAGTTATTTATTTATTTTAAAAAATTATGATTAAATAACTTAAACTAAAAATAGTTTCATAACACTTAACTTTACTTTTTATTATCTTATTATTATAAATAATTTTTAATATTTAGGCAGAGGAACTTCAACATATGATGGAACAGCAATTGCCTCAGCTGTTGTTACAGAACTGGTACAAAAACAATGCCGTACCCTATTCTCTACCCATTATCACTCGTTGGTTGAAGATTTCAAGACCAACCCATTAGTTGCACTAGGTCACATGGTATAAATTCACATTAATATATTTATCATTTATAGATGGGTTTTTAACACATATATAGTTTATCTTTTTATTTTTTTGTTTCAGGCATGCATGGTAGAAAACGATGAAACAAATGAAATGGATGCAGAACAAACTCAAGAAACAATTACTTTCTTGTATAAGTTTGTAAATGGAGCTTGTCCTAAATCATATGGTTTTAACGCTGCTCGTTTGGCTGGCATGCCAGCTGACATCATAAAAATTGGTTTACGTAGATCTAAAGAATTTGAAACTGCTGCTAAGCGCCGAATACTATTCAAAACATTGTTTTCCTCTAATGATAAATCTGTTGTGAAGACAGCTATTTTAACTCTATAATTTATGTATTAAGTTCCTTATACATTATCAGTATTTTCAGACCTCATTGTTATTATTCATTATTTTTTTTATTTAGGTATTCATTTTTTTTTGTCGAATTACACTTATTATACAATGCTAAACAGTAAATGTTTTTTTTTATTACAAAAAAAGTACAAATTATTCAATAAATTATAAGACTTTGTTCCCATATTTTCATTGTGTATCATAATTTATCTACTGTATTTTATTTTAGTGATCTTGTCGATTGGGACCAGGACATTCTTCCATCAAATCACTCTCGTCTTCATATACTGTTCCACAATAAACACAATAGTTATAAGTGCGCCTCAAATAAAATTTTAAAATTTCCAATTGTTCACTTAATGATATAATATTAATTTCTTCTTCTTTTTCTTCTTCTGGTTTATCTGCATCAACTTCAGGAGCCTCCTCGGGCCAAAAGAACTTTTCAGATGGTTCTTGTATATCCTTAAAAAACATTGCAAATATTTAAAAATTACTATTTAAGATTTTGCTAATTAAAGTATAAAATTAAGTTAAACTATAAAAACATATATCTTTAACAAATTTCGGAATTGTCTGAATAAAAAGTTATGTATAATTAAATTTAAAAATTGTAACTAATAGCAACGCTGTCAGTCTTTTAAAAAACTGGCATATGGATGCCTTTTTGAACTTGAAATGAATGTCAAGCTTTTAAATATAAATTGTCTTTAATTTATTTGGAACAGACAATCTCTAAAATAGTAAAATCTAAGTTGTATTCATTTTTTCCCAATCTGAGAAGAAATTTTTGAAATATATAAGATCAACAATTAAGGCTGTTATAAAATGTGATACCTGTTCTAAATCCATTTGGCGGCATACTCGCTGGCATCTAAATAAGTCCAAGCGGTCTAATTTTTCAGCAGCTTCCTGAGCCCGTCTCTCTCTATACTCGCACACACTGGGTCCGGTCGACCGTCTACTTTGTATCATTGACTTTTTCATTTCTCTGATGTCTCTTAATGCTGCTTCTCGACCCAAACCTTTGCGGTCGGTTTTCAACACAATGCCAATTGGTTCCACTCTTCCAGAATCTACCAGAACACAACAATAGTAACTCAGTAAAGCAAAGGTTTTACACAATCCCAGCAGAAATACTAACTGTTTTTTCCAATTCCTGATCCGGGCTTGTAACCCATTTTTTGTAATAAAGTAAAACCTTTGTTGGTGTTGTCAATGGCCTTTTCCAGTCCTTCCTGGCGTTGCTGCTCTTCCATCGCCTTTGCACCAGTAGCCTTGTTTATCAATTGGCATTCCTTTCTCTTTTTCATCTGATTGTGAAGTCTTTGCTGTTCGTGCGTCATCAGCAGGCCGGGTCGAACATCTTTAACAGTCCTAACAGATCCATACAAGGGTGACTGTAATGACAGTACAATTATACAAACACAAAGACTTGCTCTTATGAAATGCTGGTGTAACATATATTGTCAATTATGGATGGGTAGTGTTAATTTGGAAATATTTTCAAGTGTTGTTTTTATTAAAATTATTAATTATTCTGCAAACGAATATTAAATTTAGATTATAATATAGAATGATGTGGAGATGCTAACTGTAGTTAGTAGGTCTGAAATATTGCATGATTTGGGGTCAATTGTATACATGTAGTGTCCACCTCTCGGAGTACCCCGGGTGGTAATTTACTCATTTTCATAACAATTATGCAAATGTTCATACATATTTTTAATTCTTGAAATGTAGTTGAACATATATCATATCTACTCAAGCGAAAACTAAGTTATTCAGGATAATTTGTAAATTCAAGTTATAGGTTTCATAGTGTTAATAGATTGAATTGAGTTATTAAAATAGTAGCATTACATTTTCAAAATGAATCAAAACCTTTAACAGGTGTTAATATGTAATTGTATATTCCTTTCTCATTATAATATATTATAATGTATAAAATATCAGAGCACATTGTGAACCTAGCGATGGGTACCCACTCAATGTTGAGGAAAGCATCGGACATGTAGTCGTCTTCTTCATCGTCCGTTGCGGCCATATCAACTGGAGTTTGGATGTCAGTGATCGCAGTTTACAGTTAGAGTCTCCAACAGTATTACTTCCGGTCAATTACTAAACATAAATGAAATCGTCCCAATTGCATTCCGGATCCCGGCTGGTAAAAATTACAAGTGAAGGTAATATAATTTAATATAATAATACTTTCTTCTCGATCGAAAATAAGTACGAGGGATACAACGATGGCTCGCTAGACTGTGGCTACATCAACCTATTATTTAATATTACCATTCACGAACCATAAAGTAGTAGTAAGCACTTAACAACTAACTAATAAGAAGTAAGAAAAGTTTTTTCGATTCAAAAAGTAATTTTCATTTCTCACGCTTTTATCACTTGTCAACAATATGCATTGATAACAACTAAGATTATGATTGCTTATCAAAATAATAAATACTATATTATCATTGCACATATTTGATCTTTGGGTAGAATTCGAATTGGAGCTTTTTTTTTCCAACCGTTTTGAATGAAACTCGGCCTGTGTTCACCATGACAACTTCGGATAACCAGAATGAGACTCAGTCCAGACTCTATTTCCTCAACGAACAGTTACAGAAAATGGTCCAAGAGTTACCCAGGTAAATCAATGGCGATCGAGACTCAGTGGCTTGGTGATTTTTATCAGTCATCACCAAATTGACATTCTCGTTCCAGAAAGTACCAGCAGCGCATACCCAATGAACTTCTGTGCGAACTTACTGAATGTCTGTTGGACAAAACGCTGTATTCAATCGTCAAGGAACTGACAGATATTCAGCATGTTACAGAGAAACAAATGTTTCAAAAACGATTAGAAATGATCAATAAACATTCCGGTGAGTATGTGATCGCGTCAGAGTTATAAAATGTGTACATCCTGGTAATGGGTTGCGGCCAACTACCTACATAATTTTTAGTGATATTTTATAAAAGCAATGTGTATTGAGGTATTGAGCAACAGTTCTGTTTAAGTCGTCATACAAAAACTACTGAAGTCGGATATAGTCCAGCCAGGCAAGACCGAAATGAGACTAAAATTGCAAGCAGAGCACAGAAGAAACTTGAGAGAATTCGATAAGAGGATAGTGACTGAACTTGACGAAAAGGTAATGTAATCAAATACTTGGATTTCTGTATTTAACCGGACCTCATTAAACAACCTTGTTATGGTAAACAGCAGCCCATAAGAACAATACCTGGGGCTTTGTTCCGTGTATAATCATGAAGTAGCAATCTAGATTAATATTTTTAGTTAAATTGCATGTGGGGCTTAATGAGGTCTAGGAACAGTCGGTGGATCAATAAGTTTCATTCATCATAATTAGGTAAAATCTTATAATAAATCTAACAACTTAATTTTAAAAGAAATTTTTAAGACACTTAATTATATCCACCTTCATCATCATTTAATAAAATCATCTCTTAATCAATTGTCATTTAGTTTAATACATATGTATTAAAAGTATTAACTAAGGTTGAATAAATTAACCAAATTTTATAGAAAAAAGTTTTTTATATAAAATATTGCATTACAAATTACTCATAGCATACCAATGCTATTCGTTTGTAACCCAATAAAGTTGGTGGGGTAGTGATTGCTACCTCTCAATGACACAACATACAATGGATAGGATAGAACTATTGGCACTTACCTATTTTCAGTAAAACTATTGCAGTCAACTCTCGATTTAACGAAATTCGATATAACCGGTCCCTTGAAAATATCGCAGTATAACGAACAAATGTAATGTATTTTAGTCTCCTCGATGTAACGAAGCGTTTTTGATAAAAACTCTCGAGATGTAATGAATTTTTATAAATTTGGAGCTTTCTATTACGAATTTTTAATTTTAATTAAGATAATATACATGTCTCTAGTGTATAACTCTATAAAAAATATATAAAAATAAGTATGTTGCTATTACCACATAATAGATTACGAAGTTTTTCTGATGATTATCATGCTATAGGACACTCAAGTACAGTATCGCAATTAAGATAAGTCTTATGTCGAATAAATACATACCTTTATGACTCATATATTTTATACATATGTATACGAATAATAAAATTATTAAATAAATATATACAATCTCTTTAAATCACGGTATAACGAATTCAATTGGTCTATTCTCTTGATATAACAAATTTCGATGTTAAGAACTTTCGATATAACGAATTTTTTTCTCGGTCCCTTGAAATTCGTTATATCGCGAGTTGATTGTATATAGTTTCTCATAGAAAATTATGAAATTGAAATTGTAATTATATTGTATTTGTCTAACTGAAATATTATTTTATTTGCAGCGACGAGAGCAACAGAATACATTGCACATGGCTGGTGTACCAGGATTTGATGTCACAGATGATGCTGGTCGTATTCAAGTACAGATACGTTTATGTGATTTCATCATAAGACTGAGCCTAATTGACGTTTAAAAAATAAAAACAATATTGCACAGGAAAAATTTTAATTTTACTAAAAAGAAAAATATTGTCCTAAATCATTGATTAATCCCACTTAAATATGCATATTTCAAAATTGTAATAAATTAATAATTAAGTTAAAAATAAATAAATAATAATAAAAAAAAAATGATTAAAAAGAAATAAGTAAAAATATAATATTTCAAATGATTGAGACAAATTAAATGTTTTTCATGTATACAATACATGCGTGCAAGTGTAATAAGTTCTGCAATAAAAAAATAAAACTGAGTAAATTTATTTAAAGTATGTTTATCCTGTTAAAAAAAAAACTTTAGGAATTAATAATTGTTTTTGTTCAAGTTAACTTTTCAAATGTGTAAAAATTGATATTAAAAGAACAGATATCAAAGTAAACTTTCTTACTGAGAACAAAATTACAAATTATCTATAAAAAAAAATAATTATCATAAGAATTATTGAGTGTTGAAATGTTAATCTTGTAATAGCAAAAATACAGCTGAATCTGAAGAAGTTGCCTGAACTATTGTCTTCTGTTCTATTTTATTGGCTGTATCGATATCGGTTGGTATATAATAAATAACATCAGAATAATCCTTTTCTTCAAAACCAACACCCCAAGCCATCAATTTATCTGAAAAAAAAAAATAATAACTTATGAGCACTGAGAATAAAATGATTTGTTTAGTTAAGTTTAAGAAATTTTCTTACTATTTTCAGTAACAACAAAACTGTTATCTGAACCACAAGTCGCGATTTTAATCTGCGGCAATGATGATAACACTTTGGGAACTTTTTGGTTTTCTGCTATATCCATTCCCAAACGACCATCCTTATAATCACCCAATACATACACAGCACCTATATAATCAGAACAAACAAAAATATATTTATAATATAACAATACCACAATTATTTAGAAAAAAATCCAAACTAGAATTACGCCTAAATAATATAATCGTCATATTGTAAAGCAGGTATTAGAGTGACCTCTTAATAAGGTGCATTTGGTTTTTATAGTGATTTTAAATGTTTTATTTAAAAGTAACAATTTCTAGAGACTTGGAAATCGATACAAATTGTTCGTATGAAATGATTTGAAAAAAAAAACTGGATCAAATAAACACATTTCATATTATTATATACTACTTAACTCTTCAAAAATAAACTGTCAAATAATCTACGAAGGTTAATCAAGAGCCCTTTACTAAGACAATTTTTATATTTTTTTAATTAACAAAAGTTGAAGATTGAGACAAATGGTTTCTTTAATATTTTTATTATTTAGAGAAATTTATGTATGGCACTATTCTCGGTGTCCCTAGCAAAAGGCCTGTGACAATGTTATACTAACATTGTTAAATTCGTATTAAACTGTTCATGTATAACAGGGGTGGCGAACCTTTTTTGAGTCAAGTGCTAAAACTTAAAATCAAGTATTTTGAAATATGCTCGCGTGCCAAAAAAAAAAAAATGAATTTTACTAGGTAAGATGAAAATAAAAAGCATGCAATACTTATACATATTTTATTAGGTACACATTTATTTGTAAGCTTTTATTTCATATATTAATGTGATGTGTTGTGATAACATTGGTTAAATAAACAAAACAAAAGCCTAACTAATTTCATTGAAAATTTAAGATAACAATTTTTGACAGTAAATATCGTGTAGAAGTTAGTTTTGTTGCAGACTAAAAACAAGCAATAAATTATTATTAGTATAATGTATTTATGAATACACAAACCTTGTTCATCTAGTAAAGTAACATGCTGTGTTCCAGCTGATATAGACTTAATTTTGAGACGACTTAATGATTCAGATATTTGTGGAAAGTACACACATTTATCATCATTTTCAACACCTAATTGACCATGAGCATTCAGGCCAAAAGAGTAAATAGAAGAGTCTGATAAACGTAAAAATGTAGTGTCGTAGTTAGCCCAGATATCATCAACTTTTTTACGTAAATTTAACAGTTGAGGATTTAACAGTAGTTCTGAAAAAAAAAAATGTATAAGCCATAAATAAAAGATACTTACAATATATTCAAAAATTTTATTTTATTTTATAATACTCACTTTTGCCAACGCGTGAATCTCTATTGGAATGCCTTTGACATATTCTACCAAGTTGACCTTCATCTCCGCATCCCATAGTGTACACTTTGTTTTTAGACAACATGACAAGATGATTAATACCAGATGCAATTTTCTTTACCTGGGTCATGATTAATTTAGGCTTCAATTGTTTTTCTCCGTTAGGTTGGAATCCCATATCACCGTTTTTATCCTATGCTCCATTGTATTAAATTAATACATATTTTGTTGTAAATTAAATTTATTGTATTTAACTTACTCTAAATGTTCCCCAACTATACACATTGCCATTACTAAGAAGTATTGCAGAATGAGAACCTCCGGCAGATATACTATATATTTCTGCACCTTCTTCTTCAGGAATCTGTACAATTCCAGGTCTAGTTTCACTGTCTTCAGCCGAAGTATCTCGGCCCAATGCACCTTCATCATTACAACCCCATGACATGAGCTTTAATGAGCAATGACTTAATTAATTAAATTACCAGAGATAGGTACTAAATAATAGTTAATTACTTTTCCATCTTCAGTAACACCTAAGACATGCATACTTCCAGCAGCAATAAGTTTGAATTTGTAATTCTTCAATTCCGTAAGATTTGTAAGCTGTTCGCGGTCAGGGCCTAAACCAAATAATCCTGCTATCACTATATCTCGCCCTTTGATCATCATAATACCAGGTGTTTCAATTCGGTTATCAATGGCTAGAAAAGTATACATAGTTGAGCCATAAAAGTCACCAAATTTACAAATTTAGTTTACCAATTTTATCTGATGATTTTTCAGTCTTTTTTCTCTTAACTTCAGTTGCTGGTTCTTCAAACGATTTTCTTTTCGGTCCTAAAATATATTTATACATTACTAAATTATTTTAAATATTAAAAACTTGAACTAACCTTTTGAACTTGTAGGCTGTGGCTGGTTTTCAGACTCTTGTTTACGTTTAGTACGAGTGTTGCCATTAGTTGCAACAATTTTTTTTGGAGTGGCGCCTAATACACAAACATTAAATTATAATACTACTCGTTTATTAATAAAATAACTCACTTGTCGATTGTCTCTTTTCATCTCCATTTGATTGATTATTTCGTTTCGATTTTACTGTAACCAGTTTATCATCAGAAACTTCAACTTCAACATTATTTTTCTGGCCTTTTCCTTTCTTTATTTTAACAACTTGTTTACTATAAATAAAGATTTTAAGAAACATTAAAAATTAAGACTTAATTAGTTATTACTCACCCATTGGTTTTTGATATAACGTCTGGTTCTGCAAGTTCATCTATACCAGTTAAACCGTTTACTTCTTTTGGTTCTCTACAAAATTCATTTCAAATATTATAAAATAAAATTAGAAAACAATAATATTAATGATGTTACATTGTACAAATTATTTCTAGTATTTTTTATTATCATCTAGGTAAAAAAAATATTTTACTTCGATACAATAAACATCTAATACATAGATATTGGGAAAAGTGAAAATATATAAATATTTATCACTCAATGTGATATAACACAGAAATGTTCAAATAATCATTGTTAAGAACAAAAAATAAATGGAAAAAATGTTTCTGTATAGCAAAAAAGTAAATTAAAAATAATAAATGAGGTATATTTAGAAACATACACTTATACATTAAAAAGGGGGCATATTTCAGTGGGAAATATCTGTAAAATTGTTTCATATATGGGAAAATGTCCTACATTACAGTAAATTACTATCATTTAAAAATAATTAAACATTAACAAGTAACTAAAAATCATTTATACTTTAAAAAAAAACTATAATTTAAGATATAATTAAATTAACTAGGTACAATAATCAGTAGAAAATAAGTATAATTTATAAACGCACTCTTTTATTACAGTCGTATTATTTGGAACATCAGTAACAGTTTTTGTTGTGTTCTTGGCCACTGCTTTAGTTGGTCCCTTTTTTTTACCAGCCATTTTAACAGGAAAAGTCTAAAAAATAAAGATTATACAACAATCACTTTTTACATATATTATTCCACAAATAGTTTATTTTCAGTTATAGATGAAGTCTTAAGGTTAAAAGTTAAATTCCTAATAACCTACGGATACAAGCCATATCAAGTTATTATTATTTTTATAATTAGGTATGCCTAAATAAGAAATAATGGATCTTAATGGTCAAATTGAATGTAAAATAAGTATAATTAACTTGTTTTACATGAACGTGTCACATATGTAATGAGCATTTGTCATTGTACAAAACCATTTTATGTTTTTCGATTTACTATATAGGTGAAACTTCAAAAAAAACTTATTCAATTCTAACTTCTTGCATGGATACCATTTTTACATCTATCTACCAATTAGTAAATAGTAACAATGTTTTGTAAATACAGTAATTATGATTTAAGTAGGTACCCAGCAAATACTTATATAAATAATTGTGTAAATACACGGCATATTACCTATATAATTTAACTTCAAAATTATCCACGTTATTTTATACAAAAAATTGTCTACTCACTTATGATCCAATCCCCACCAATTGTAATATAATACATAATACTTATACTATGTGTAGCATACATAAATACTGACTATGCAACAGTATTATTAGTGGTAAAAATATAAAATTAAGACAATTATTTATATAAGTGTAAGAATATTCTTTACTAGGTTCACATATATATATTTTTAATTAAAAATAACCTAATGATAAAATAAATATGACAATTAGTTACGTACTACCTATGTTTTTAGTTTCAAAAAAGTAGGCAGGTACCAACCACGTACAGAGATTATGATGTCCAAGATTATATTACATTAAATGATATGATGAGTAGAATAATAATTATGAACAGAGAACATATAACAATGAAAACCAAAATGGTACTAGGTATTGAATCTAAGGCGATTGACACTAGTCAGTATTTAGGAACAGCGTATAACTGTCATCTATAAGCAAACAATACCCAGCCACAACATATTGTAATGAGCATGTACATAGCTTTACGTTTAACATTTTTTAAACATTCAAAATTATTAACATATGAAAAATTGTGTAATAAATTTAACTTGAGTATTAAGATTTCAGTTTTAATACATTTTCTTTAAATCGTAAGATCATAGTTATACATTTATTTATATCAAAAAGCATAATTAGTTGTCAAGACAAAAAAAATTGAAAAATGTATAGCTACAATCTACATCCTTAAATTTAGATAAGCGAATGTATAAATTTGTAAGTTGTTAGTACAGTTTGAATATGACAGAGAGAAATAAAAACTTGTTTTCAAAATGCATTCTACTTCACTAGGTCGATTAGTGTTTTTTTATTAGTTGGAATAAAAATAGGTCATTTTAGAATGAAAAATATTTGGTATTTTTTCAAGTATTAATTCAAAGTGTCTTATTCTTCAAATGCAATTGACTACCTGGTTGATCACAAGAAAAATGATACCCCTGTTTAAACGAGTTTGTCCTTAAATAATATTGAACATAAAAATGATCAAGAGCACGTTAACTCAACAGCGACTAGACGTTTAAAATAGGTACATAAAATGTATTATCTACGGTTTATGTGCGTTACGTTTACAGGTACTACAATTTGGAGGATTAGCGTTTGAAGAATAAAGGAAAATAGGGGATTTTGTTTTCAGATACTTATGGTTATGGTTCTGTATAAGATTTTTAGAAAAATGTCAGTCACCAGTTCTCGGATTTCAAAGCGAACGTTGCTTAATGAACACGTTCCCGCCGCATTCCACAGTTTTACCGCCAAAATGCAGCGGAACAATATTTATACACAATACTCACTTATGGACCGACGGTGAGACCTGTCAATTATCGACGGAGTAAAAAAAACGCGATCGATTAATGATGATTATCTACGTACACAAATTTAAGTCTAGAACTCGGAAGGCGAGGAGCTAAGAAATGATCCGTAGGTAGGTATTAAATTTCTTACATCAACTCACGAGTTGTTCAAAAATTGATGCAAAAATCGTGAAAATTATCCGCGTGAGCACCAGAGGAATGTTTATAATGTTAACGCGTGTCACCGTCGCGGGAAAACGAAAAACAAAAAAGTGTAATAATAATAACAGTAATAGTAATAATATTAGTTAATAACTGACCAGAAGATGACGCACGGATTGGTGGTGTGGACCGTTGTCCGTTTAACTGTCAAGGCAATTTCAGTGGCCGACAGTAAAGTGAGGTGCGATTGAGATTTCAGAAATTATTTTATTTCGTGCGCAATCTCGGCAGCCGAACACCCGTTGCACCTCCACCCTTCAACCGACGCCGGTATTTTTCAGGTGGGGATTTCGTAACGGAAAACCGTCGGCTACCGTGACGCAGCTGCAACCGCCAGCTGTTCCCGCGTCTTATCAACCTATCAACGTCGTGCCATAGTCATGGACATGATTAAATATCTTTAATCGTGGTCATGGACGATACAAATTGTGCACAAACCAGTTATCAGGTCTTTTTCAATAGATAACCTTACATAAAATATTTTTTTTTCAAATTATTTTATCAGTAAATTTAGTTTTTTTGACGGCGGTAGCCGGCAATCGACCATAGATAATAGATAATAAAGATTCTTTAATCGTTATTATCAATTATTACCATTTACCATGCACGCAATGAGCACCATGAGTTTATAACATTAGGGTTATTATCTATGATTATTGATTACAAATTCTAAATTGCAATCCATTTTTTTTAAAAATATTCTTACGTATCAGTATCGTCCATTGTCAATAACATGTCTTACCAGTTGCTACATTATTCACGACTTTCCTTGTCACGAATCACATCTCGCGAGTCTAAACTCTAGAGAGTAGAGATCCCCGATCACATAACTTAACGTCACGAGCCCGTTTGTCAATTTTTATAAACAGTTAACGCTACTGCGACGATGGACGACACTTCCATCATCAGCTCACTGACCAAGATCAAGGTTCACAGCCTCAAACGTAAAGCTCCGTCCTCCACTGGGTCTAGCAAGAAACAAAAGAGGTTCAAATCTGATGACACGTGCAGTGAACTTTCCATGACCACTTCCGAGGCGTATGGTATCAAAAAAGTCACCGACGATTTCGACTTAGATGATGATCAACCCCTTACAAACAAGCCCGTCGAGGTGAGTGTCTAAATTTATAATATTTTACTTGTCGATTATGGTGTTAACCGAAATCTATAAGTAGGTAGAGAATATGCTAGGTAAATTTACTATGCTTTGTAAGTTAAGGAATTGTATTACTATTCACTTCAATATTACAAATCTAGTAGTGAACATTTTATAACAATGTAAGCAAATATCTATTAGGTACATAATATTATCTTCCATATACCTATGCATCTTAACTATACATCTTTATTGAAATTTTGATGCAACTAAATTAAAATTTTAACCAGTAGTTAGTTATAAACTTTATGTTGGTATGTACTAAGTACTTAATAATTTAGTTCTTGGTATATCAATTACTAATTTATATTTTGTAAAAGATTGTCTTGAGTAGGTACCTATGATGGTTACTAAATATTAAATATTACATTTATTTCATATTTTATGTAAAATCATAAAGGATAGTTATTAAATTAGATGTAATATTTAATTGAGTATTTAGTCAAGTACTTATCATACTGTGAAAATTTTATACAACTTATATTATGGTAATGGATTAATGGGTGTTAATTAATATATTAATTATTATTTGAATCATCATAGTCCCTTCTCTTCAAAATCTGTTATCATGAATAAAATAAGTTTAATATCTCAAAAACTGCACATTCTAATTTCGATTTATACATTTAAACCTATATATAAACAAATTCAAAAAATTTATTGGTTTAACAATTTAGGTACAGTAAAAACGGTTGATTCTTATTTGTGATAAATAAAATTATATTACAGGGAATCTAGGAAAAGAATCTAAGGAAAACAAACTTATTTGTCTATAAAAATTAATTACCCGTTTTAATTATACCTATTATCTATTAATTCTTGTAATTGAGTCATATATTAAAATCTTAGGTAGGTAGATATCAAACATTTTTTTTTTCACCCTAAAGTTATAATCCAGGTTCGGGACCTAAAGCATTTGCTTATTTTTATAGATTGACTTAAAATGTAGTAGATCGCTATGTAAGTGTATGTCATGTTACAAGTTACAACCAGCTCAATTGTGAAATTTGAAAGTGTTTTTTTTTGCTTTTTTTTAAGCGATTTTTTAAAAAAAAATGCCAATTTCCAGTTCATATGATTATTTTTGCTTTTTTGATCAGTTTTTCTAGTTTTTAATGGTTTTCTCCTGAAAAATTGTTTTTGATAAAATTAAAATTAAAAATAATTCTTATCCTATCTACGTTTCCGCGTATTTAATTAATTAATTTTTTTTTCAATTATTTGTAAATATTGTTTAAATATTTTTACTGAAATTTAAGTTTTTTAAATGCTTATTTGAGTGCTTACCATGATGTTTTTTAACGCTTTTTTAAGCGCTTATATGAATGATTTTAAGTGCTATAAGTCCTGAGCCCTGGTTATAATAAATGAAAAATGTCTAAGGTACCTAAGTAATGTTTAAAAAAAGTGTTAGGTTTATATTATAGTATAATATAAAGCCACTATGTGTATAAACTTAGACTTACACTTCACCTAAATACTATAAATTTAAGATTTTTAAATAATGAGTAAATAACTAGGTATTTAACAATATTTTTAGGTTTAAAAAAAATCGCAATTTAAGTACCGATAAAACATTTTTAATTCAATTGCGATTTCAAAATGTTTTGTTGTTTCTTTTCAAAATATGTTATTTTTATTCAATTTATACTTAATAGTGTTTGTTTTGTATTTTCAAAGTAAGTAGTAAGTAAATATACTTAAATTTCCTAAGATCAGAATTTGAATAAATAGGTACATAATTAAAAGTAAAATGGGGTTATACGAATTCTATAGTCTGTGAACATTACGAGCATGATCTGTTAACATGGTGAAATACAGTTTTAGATGGGGAACTTCTATTGTTTTTTGCGTATAAGCAAAAATTGTAATAATATAATACTTACAATAATACCTGTTATCTTTTCTTGCAAAAAGTTGGTATAGTTGATTATCTTTATTTATACATTTTTTTTTTACAGTTTATAATATTAGATACATCTCAACTGAATAGAAATAATGGAGTTTTGTTTTCTGAAGATCTTAACGATGACTTTGAAGTTTGGACATTGCAATGTCCTGATGATGTAAGTAAACTTTTTATATTTCTTGTTTTTAAAGCTGTTTTGTGTTTTCAATTTAAATTATTATGATTATATATGAATGAAAATGTTTTAATGAACGAACATTTTTTAATTTATACTATTTACATTTATTATAATTTACATCTTTTATATAGTTAATAAGTTGTAATGAGTATTAACTATATATATCTGTATAGTAAATGGATACTGTATCATAAAATACCTTTCATATCCTGACCACCAGATCTAATATTCACAACTATGATCCTCTCATTAGATCCATGCTATGGTCAAACGCTTATGTAGTAATAACTAATTAATCAATGAGTTAAGACTAACCCCTACACATCTTAAAAAATGTAATTTTGATGATCAATATTTATATTATTATTTATACATAATAAGGTTTTACTTAAAAATCTTTATGTGAATACAATTACAATTATGTTAGTGAAGTCCTGTGATTAATTAATAAATACAATAAATCACATATTGCATACATTCGTTACAATTTATGTTTTATTAATACAAGTCTAATTTATTCTGTTTTTAATGTTTATAAGTTAATAACTATTATTGGTGTTATGTTACAGATAGATATTAATAGTCTACTCTCACAATCCATCAGTTTCAATGATGTGAGAAAATTGGAAATTAAAAACACAATGTCTGATAAAGTTGATTTGATACCTTACAGATGTCAAGAAGGAACAAATATTACTATTGTGACTCCAAGTGAAAGAACAAGCAATTTATCCTTGAGTAAGTAAAATATTCATATGAAAAATTTGTTTTAATAATTGTTCTATCCTTTATTATTATCATTAATTGAAATCATGATTTCATGCTAAATATCTGGCTATACAAATAATTTTTTTTTATTTTATCAAATTTAAAATATGAACTTCAAATTAGTGTTCAGTTACCCTATAGTATTACACATATAATTTTATTTTATTTTTTAGATGTGGTTCCTTTAGCTGGAACATTGATCATGTGTAATCGAATTAAGAAAGACAAATTAAGTAACAATGGCTTACTTCCAGTTGATACTATAGAAGATGCGACCAGAAGAAGATCAGAATTAATGTCAAAAATTACTAAAAGACTATCAAATAAATATGAAACCAATGCATTTATGAACACAGATTTAAAACAAGAGATTAAGGTGGAAAAAGAATCACCTAGAAAAGTTAAAAAAAATAAAAAAAAAAATTGAATTATACATAACTTTGCAATTTTTTTTTTTTTTGAAACTTTCAACTTCGTAGTTGATTCTATTAGTTCTACTAATACACAGATTAGTATCTGTATTCATTGATAGAACAATCTATTAATGCATAATTGAATTATATATACATGATGTATAAATGAGTTAATATTTATATTTTAAATCATCTACGCATGATTTATAGACATACCAATTGATAACAAAGTGTTAAGAATATTGTATGTTTTAAATTTAAAAGTTAACTATTGTTATGGGATTGTTTTTATTATTTCAAATATGAGAAAAAATTCTTTCTCATCCTCAAACTATTTTTTTTTAAGTACAATAATTGTGAACCTAGGTGTAATAAATTCATTGTACACTGTACAGGTATCTACTTGTTCATAACTTGATTTCGTTCATGATTTTCTATTTTTCGTTGACTGAAATATTATTTTCATTAATTTAAATTTACTTTTATGTTTTTTATAAAAATATATTGCAATTTTGAATATATAAATATACCTTCCGATCTAGAAATAAATAAAAGATGTGGACTGGACACAAAATATGCACCTCTGTAAATTATAAAAACATGGCCAAATTTAGGTGAAGGGGCAAGTAGTTAAAATATCTAGGTTCCCATAAGACTTATTCTTTCTTAGCTATTAAAGTATTAAGTACTGTTGTAATTAAACTTATATAAGTTCCTCCTTTTTAGTAATACTAATATGTACATAGAAGTAACAAAATACCTTATACCCATTAAAAACTTAACAATTACTAACAGTAATTTATGTATCCATTGATGAACAACTACATTTTTTTTTTTTTTGTCAGTGGCCAATAAAAAAGTTGAGCGTAAATCCACATTAATTTTCTATGAGTGTTTAAACTTAGAATTTTGACAAAATTTGTAAAAATCATGAAAATTATCAAATTATATTTAGTTAGAAATTCATAAAAAATGTTCTATTTATATCCAAGATTTAAAAATTTAATGCAACATCCCTTATAAGTTCTACCTTTATCAAAAAAAAATAATTCTACCGAAAAATCAAATTGAATTTTTATGAGCATTTGAAATTTAAATTTTTACATCATTGGATATTCACTCGATTTCTCTTGTAGTGATTTTCTTATTTTGTTGTAATTCAACAACGAATTACTGTACACTTGAAATTGACACCAAACGTTTATTTCATCAATTAGTATACTTGATAACATTTTCAAAATATTCAAACTAAATTTATAGTTGTCAGGGGGTGAAATTGGGAAAAGTAGACATGATAAAAAATTCAATTCAGTTCTAAAAAGTATTATCGTATTACTCGGTTGATAAGTCTGATGGACAGAAGATCGGTATGTTTTGGCTAAAATAACTGTCTTCCACCGATCCCCTTGATAAAGACGTAAGAACAGGCCCCTCAGTAAATAATCTATCTAATAAATATATCTATTTTATCGTTTTTCTATATTTATTCCCTTTTTGCACACAATCTACAAGAAGCTGCAAAAAAATCTCAATTTCAACTTATTCAGTTTTTACCTGCTCACCAATCAATTTAATATAATTATATTATGTAAATTGTAAGTTTGTAATATCTGCAATCTGCATAATATCGTCGTTGGTGTTGGTGGAGATGTAACCAGTTGTATTGCCTATATTATTCGCTAAACGGTAGATGACTCTGCGGTTTTAATGTTTTTTTTTTCAAAATGTATTACTCTTTTTTTTTACTACTTTCAATTTTTATTTCATTTTTCCTGTGATTGTCGACCATATAACACTGTTTACTTATTGTGCTTAACACATTTAGAATCTTATGATTCGAAATGCTTAAATTTCAGAGTTCAGTATCGTTTTCAAAAAGGAATATAATAGTCTATACTTTCTATGTACCGAAAAAACGAATCGGTCGGAATTTACATTTGAAATTAAAATATTATTTTTGTATTTCCCCTCTAAAATGGAAATTATAATAAGTTCCATGGGTACGATATTTCGATATTATAATATTAAATTCATCTGAAAAATCTAACATTATTTTTATTTCAAACGTTATGCACAGATGTCCCTATATATTTATATAATTAGGTAAAGAAATATACCTATGCTATAAAATATTTTGTTCTGTGATAAATGATAATATATAAATATAATGTTTAACATATATTAAATATTATAAAAAGTGTAAATATACTCGTCATGCTCGAAGACATGTTTCGTGACATTTTGCCAACATCGTTCCATCTAACCATATAAGTATTTTTTAACGTTAGAAATCAAATTATTTTTAATCTATAGGTTACCTAATAATAAATCTTCACAAATACGTACTACGACTACCTACCCATAATGGGATATGCTTATCTAACTGAAAATTGCGGAAATACATAATTAACTTACCTACATGGCTACATTACTTAATACTTTAACATTTTTTGTAAATGCGGTTATTTGTAGTATCTACTGATAGTGACCGCTATTTTTCATCAGCATTTTTCACATTCAACATAAACTATATAAACATATTAATATGTTATTATAATTTACAAATATAGATTGAACGTGTAGTTGGAATACCACCCCGCCATTTTTATGTATTAGCATATTTACCTATATATTTATTATTATATTTACTCATTAAGTACTTTGGATTACGGTAATGTATATTATATTTAGACTAATATTATCAACTTTTTAATATTTTTATACTTAGATCTTGCTTACTCTCACGTCTCATCGCCTATGCGGTAATCAACCTAAAAGTTAATAACAATAATGTATGATATCATAATAAAATTATAAAATTACCATCATAAAGATGAGCGATGTATTTTGAAAAAAATAGTTTAACATACTGATTACTGATTATTACTAATAGACAGCAGTTGCCAGTATAGGTAATTAAAAATAATTTATGAAATATCTTTAGAAATAGATTGGTTGTGTACTCACAGAATGATGATTGCCCAGAACTCAGAATCATTGTTCATTCGTTCTTGCGCAATAATGGTTTATCACTGAATTAAAATTTAATACATCCTTTGCAATGGCCAATTTAAACCCCTCTAACACTGTCATGTTCGTTGCTCATGTTGCCACTATAATGTAGCACCTATAAGGACATATTTTGGTCACTGGGTGTAGGTAACTGGACGTGTCTGTGACACAATCTGTTCGGCGAGAAAACTGCACTCTGCGGCCCGACGAAAATCCGTTCTTTTGCGCATCCCCATCCACGCGACACCCTGTCATATTGGAACCGGTCTCGATGACTTAATGGAAGACTGGCAGAATCTGAGGGCCATGTGTGGATTTGCGGAATCGGCGTGTTCTCTCGCTGGACACTGGACAGAGTATAGGTATTAAGTATTATACAGGGTGATTTTTTAATCGTGCTCACCCTGCTTTTATGCTTAAATTTTGCATACATTCAAATTCAGATTTTTGGAATTTTTAAATACACTTGGAGACTATATTTCCGAATACTTTTGTACAGCTTAAGGATAATTCTGTGTCAATACAAACTTCTATTTTTTTTTAATAGGAACCCTTGTCTTTCACTTATAATTATTCAGTAGATATTTTTTTTGAGAATTTTGATGTATCTGAATTAAAATTCGATGGAGTGGTTTTTGACTTAAATAACCTTGTGTTATAAAGATAATAGGTTATGATAATGAATAAAGTAGATATGAGTAGATATGAGGGCTTAGATTGTATGAAAATGTTAGAAATTATTAATTACCTGCCATTGAACTAACAAAATAAATAATTTTGTAAAAATGGTCCAATTGTATACAAAATATAACAACTAATTTTATATACAAACATATATATAGTTTATATTTTTGGTAAACCATTTTTAAGAATTATTATCCCCAGTTTACACATTTTAACAACAGTATTCAAAAACCACTCATTAGTATTTTGATTTAGTATGTGGTACATCAACATAATCGAGAAAATCTTCAGATAAATAATTTTGAGCAAAAATCGGATATTCTCATATGAAAAATAGAAGTTTGTATCGCCACAGGACACTCCTCAAGTAGTACAAAAAATATCAGGAACTTAAAAATATTATCTTTAGATATAGGTACCTACTTCAAAGTTCTAAAAACAAAATAAAGAGAAAAATGGGGGTGAGCATGTATAAAAATCGCCCTGATATATTAAGTATACCTACTATAGAGTACTATATTTATGTATATAGATACACCAGTGAAGGACGTCACTAACGAGTAATGATTGCCTAAAAGCTAAATAATTAATATGCACCCTTCTAAATTATTCCTTTTTACCTATATTATGTTTCTTGTTAAACCGTGATTGCAAAAATGGCAAGTGGAAATAATATCGGGAAAGTATAAGATTATGTGCATAGTGCATGCATACGCGTGTTATATCGCATGTGCTATTTTAATCCTCCGAAGCGGTCCAATTATGGCGTTCGCATTATTATGTGTGCAGAGATAAACGTTTTTTTTTATACATCGTATTACTATTATTATTATTATATTCGTCGTAAACGAGCATGGCGTGTCTCTAGAACGCCCTAAGTCCTAACCAAAAATCCGTATGTCAACGAGTGAGCGAAACACACAAATTTGCAAATGTCGAACAACTAACATTAACAACAGTGTATAATACGCAGGCACTTCAGCCAACTATTCGAGTACATTCGATGTATACACTTAAGTCTTAACACATTACAAGGGCAGAGGACTTGTAAAACATTTTCATATTTGTTTTACGCTATCACACAGATATATTATAGTCGAGTAAGAATAAATAAGGTTTTATGTACAGATAAAGATGTATGTACATTCTAAATGTACGTATAATTACGTTTCCATATAAGTACATATTATGTTAAGTTTATTTTTAATTTGAATTTAAGAACTTCTGCATTTCAATCCTTTTGTTGCAACATTTTTATAAATTTTGAAAAATATAAACACATTACACATGTGTATGAATATTTTCTTTATCACCGAACTATAATATAGCGGTGTATATTATGATATAAAGTGTTATATTTTTATTAAATTTATTTTGTACGTCTCTATTAGGTACTTTTGTGTGTCATTATGTGTCTGGTTTCGATGGAAAACGCGTTATTATTAATTCACAAAAAAAGTTTAAAATTAATTCAAGTTGCACTTGCACATTAACTGCAACACGTACAAATTACATATCATGCAATAACATATCGTCTGCACTTGATCATCGATTTTGTACGTTTATTCCAATAAAATAAAAAATATATAATATATTACATGCATGATGATTTAAGTACCTATATACAAAGAGTAGGTACCGGCCGTACTCTAGTAGGTACTCATCGGCAGTGCTATATTGAATGTGTACCCTATGCCCTGGTAGGGTTTAATGGAGCCTGTATAGTTCCCGCTATTTGTTAATACTGTTTTTGAGAAATCTTCTGTGGAGCGGTTTGACTTTTATATTATATGACCTATATAGATATTGGGTAAGTTCGTACACGCTTTTGTTTCCTGTGATTACCAGAGAAATTTAACATTAGCTATTTAATAATATTTACCAGCACAAAATAACGCGATATAAAATTGTTTTCGTTACAGAGTTTTAGATGGAGCTTTTACGGAATTTTTTATTTATATGGATACGAGCCAACAGAAAACGTTCAAACAATTTTTCTCAAGCTTAAATATTTTAGATATTTTAACAAGTTGATACATTTTTATAACTAGAATCATTAAGAAATTAATTTACTGCTCGTGTTTGCATGTCAAACTGACCTGTAGCTAGACATAGTGACATCGTTTTTATTAGGTTTTTGTTTTCCACAAAAATCATTTATTTAGGTAGGTATTCAATTATTAATAAATAAAAAACAAATTAACAATTATTTAAAATATCTGTGAAAGATAAGAGTCCTTATATTTTGTTTATTATATGTTTATAAGGTTGGTAAAACACTTAAACAGCACTTTAAAAATAACAAAAAATAATAATTGAGATTTATAAAATTAGGCAAATGTAATAAATAATAAATTTATAATTAATAGAAAAAGTCATTTTAAAATATACTGATTAATGATTATACTGGCCAATGACAAACAGCACATTATAATAAGTAGTATAAAAATAATTTAATTTAATTTTAGTTTTAAGTCGCATCGAATGTTTTTATTTTGGTAAGTGCCTATAAAAGGCGCAATTTTCACCACACATTAATAATAAACATAATTAATGGTAAAATATATTAAGACTAAGTAAGTAAGGCGTTATATATTTACTTGTATATTATATTATATATAATTAAATAAACAATTTCTTCTTACAAACATTTTGAGTTTTGATGTATAATATATAATACAAATATTTGATTATAGTTATGTTAGTAGCAGCGAATAGTAGAATATGTATTTTATTATTTTATACCTGTCATATTTAATGCATTTTTTTTTTTAAATATAACGTTTTATAATCGCTCTTGACATTTATGTTACATTAATGTTTTAAGTGAAAAAATCTAGTGAAATGTGTATTAATAAAATTTATATATTTACACATTGCTATTATTATTTATTGCACATATATCCACATTTCCATATATATATAAATTATAAACTGTGTTATTACGTAATTAGTAACTACTAATTATAATTTGTACAATTTATCTAATAAAAAAAATTTTGAATTTTGATATAAAAATAAACGAAATCATAAAATCATATTTACATTATTGTGTGAATATAGTAATAATTTATTTATGTATGCATTTTTATACATATTATGATGTACGTATAGTATACCTCTATATAATATTATAATATAAATGCATATTCAACTTATTATATTTACAACGATATGGTAGTTTTAGTACAAAATATTTTACTAAAATAACTATTAGCATTAACACCCAAATTATTAGTTTATAATAAAGGTAGGTAATAAAGTATACCATTGTATTTGATTAGATTTACAAAAATGTAGGTAGGTTACTGGTATCTATATTAATGAGATATTTAAACATTTATATTCTTAAAGTTATGTAAAATAACGTTAATATTATTTACGTATTTTCAGTACCTAGCTAGGTTACTACTTATAGTAATAAAAACCAATGCGTGTACATATTTTAACTGAATTGTGGTTACTTTATGATATTTTATATTTAATTTGTAAGGGCTTATGTATAGTTTTTAAATAAGGCTGTAATTTTTTATTATTATTAAAGGAATAATTATTGAATTATATATTGTACATTAATACATTATGCAATAAGTGCTTATCTTCGAGACGTAGAAATTTCTGTAGAAATTGCCATTATAGGTAAAAGCTAAAAATAGTTTTTATATTTTACAAATAGGTGCACTCATTAATTTTAAAACATAAGATCCGAAATGTATTATTAAATAGTTACCTACATTTAATCGTAATTCGGTGTACTTTTATGTTTTTAACGATACCTCATGATAAATGATAATGAAGTTAAGATCAATATTGGGTACCTAAACATTTGGGTTTAGTATACCTAATACCTATCGCAATATTATTAAGTATATGAAAATGTGCTATAAAATTAGTTCTCATCCAATTGAAATATATATTTAACCCAAATTTATCTATCAACTTGTTTCCTAAGTTAAATTTAATTAAAAACGCATATATAGGTATACATAATGTTATTGAGTATATTTTTTATGTTATTAATTTAATTAATAAATATACATTTAATATGATTGTATTTATATACACAGATAATACGCAAGTATAGAAGTTTTCGAAACATATATATTTATTCACACATAAATATATTTAAAAATAAAACATTTAAAATCTTAAAAATCACTAAACGAATTAAAAGATTGAAAAAAAACTTAAATTTAAGTATCAACAGCGTTGTAATAGCACCAAAAAAAACATAAATAATCCCAAAACTAAATAAAAAAATAACTCTGTCTAAACATTGTTTCTGGGGAATTTTAAAAATCCATTCTAATTTAATTATACGATATAAAATGTTTAATGTATATTTAAGCTATTAGTATATTATTTATATATTAGAGTTTAGTCTATGGTCATTACTCATTATAGTGATATTATCAATGCTCCAGACACGAAAAGAAGTATTAAGTGGGTGTTTCTGAATAGGTAAAACCTATTTATTTGGAATTTGATTATTTATCGTCATCGAACAGAATATTTCTTATTATTTATGAAAATCCAAGATAATTTTTCTCTTCTTAAATGTATTAATATGTTATATTTTTTTTTATTAATCTGTTGGTGTGATTAACTAATTTTATTGATATGCCTATCCTTCAAAGAAAAATATGATGTTTTTATATTTGTAGTTAATTTATGTAGTTATAAGTTATAACTGGTTAAATCCATTAATTTATTAGTAAGAAAGTATTATTTATTTTAAATTTAACACTCACTTATTTGTGCGTTAGTTAAATTTTAGTTTTATGACAGATGATATAAGTCAAAATTTGCAAAGTAGAAAGTGCTTACCAGTGTATTATCCAATATTTTAAACATATGTACTAAAATGTCAGTTTTTGACGAGAGCACGACGTAAAAAATAATGATTTACACTTCAAACAAATGTTAGAGTAGGTAATTATTCTTACAATATTTTGCCCTCATGAAATTCTGACCAAGTGGGGGGCCGTTTAAATGATGACGTAGATGCCACCTGTTTCTTCATTCGAGTACGAAACTCTAGTCTTAAGAATAGCTAATAGGACACATATTGCCATATTTTTATCCCTCGTGTACATTTCTAGTAAATGTAAAATTGTAAATTATTAAGATTTAATAAAAGAAGTGACTTAAATGAACAATATTATAATAATTACACGATCAACTTAATAAACGTATTGATCTTTTTTTCGCAGGGAAAATAGTGCTCTAGGATCCTTTATAGATATGTTTTATAAAAGAGAAAAATATTATAAAGATATTTATTATTTACTGTCTTACTGGTTATTTACACAACCGGCATTTTAATGTCCTAATAACTCACGACACACGACTAACATTTACCAAATTAAAAGCGACTTTACTAGATTTGAATTTAATGTATGTAGATATATTATTGTTTTTTTTCTAACCCGAATAAATTCAATCAAAATTCAACTGAAAAGGCAGATTATTTTATATATCTATGTATAATATATGAATAGCAGTCGAGTTTCTCTCAAACCGTTTTGTTCTGCAGTTATTTTAATTTGTAAAAAAAAGACCTTTTCGCAACACATCGAAGGAGAACGAAATCGTTGTTCATAGGTTTAACTCTGAAGCACTAAAACTCGAGAAGTGTTATATAGGTTGGATCGAACATTCGGACGTGTTCTAGTGTGGTTAGAAAAAAAATAGACGAATACTGTATAACGGATTTCGCTGGATCACGCCATAACTGAATATGTAAACTGGCCGAATAGTTAGTAATAATAAAATGGATCAAAACGGTTTTTGGCACAGTCCCACATGTAGCCTCCCCCACTACGATAACGTGTCTCAAAGTCTTAAATAGGTCTGTTGTGAATTGCAACAGTCGTAATTTACTTGACTTTTATAGTAATGAGCGAAAATACTTCGTCACAGATTCAAAAATACTGTTTATAGTATTTTAGTATAATATTGATTATTATCACCGTAGGATACATTTTTTTTAGGTACAACAAACTTAGTTATAAATATTTGTAGCAGACAGCAGTGTTTTCTTTAAATCTATAACATATTTTAATACAATACGAATTCTTAATTACCTACCTAATTGTTTCTACTATATAATATATCAATAACTACATTAATGTCTTATCTCGTCTATCTCGTATGTTCGCCTATGCACATTTTATACAATATAATATACAAGTCTTAGGTATATTAATTGCAAATATTGATAAAATATGAACATATAAAAAAATATGCAAATAATCACATACATTTGCGCTAAGAGGTTAAAATAAATGGCATAAGTAATAAGCAATAAACAATTTGAGCCTCAGCAAATTTGTTCTATATATTATATATTTGGAATTATTCTAATATTACACCTTAAACTTTCACTTTCAAGTTTCAACGTATTACTGGTCAATCGAAAAATAAACCTCCGTATAGAATTTGGATCACTGCCTTTATAGTTAGTTGACGGTTGTGTACGTATGTAAGTACCTACTGTATACAAATACATATATAGGTACATTTTATTAGAACAATAATACAAATAAAAGGAGACAGATATTTACTTAATTTAAGGTACCTATGATGATATTTTTAAATCAAGGAGTATATTAGATATGATTGTTATTAGTGTGTAGGTACCCACATACTATATTAAGAACTTTTTTAGTATTACTAAGATCGCTAAGAATGTTTAATTTTTAATAGACAATGAGATAAACGTTATAGACAAACAAAAAATTAAGTAGGCTTATAATAAGTAAAGTAAATTTATAATACGAAAATAATATTAGGTACACTCAAGATGGATTTATAAGTTATAAATACATTTGTAAAGCCAAGTTGATTACACTATTTAAATATTTAAATCGATAGTAAATTTGTGCAATTATCCAATAAAAATTATAAACTTCTTCTAAATTATTTTTTGTTAAAGAGAAAATGTTTGTATTTAATATTTATTAATATGTTATAATGTTATTTGTTAATATCTATAACATTTTATAAATTATTCCAACTTCATCATTTTTGAACAGATATTTACCAAGCTTACCTATCATAATATTATTATATATTATTGTTGTTGACGTCAATTTTTTTTATAATAAGTTCTATCACTATTTAATCGAAGAATTTTATTTGTTTATTACATTATTTAATGTATAATAAATCTATACAAGTCTATCATTACAGTGCATATTATAATTTAATCAGTTACCTAGGTACAACAATATTGTAAAAAAAATTATTTACACGTTGCTACCAATATTATTTTAATTGGACTTTGATAGTTTGATGGCAATAATAAAATGCAATTTCTCTAGTACAAGGATTCGGAGGAAGTACTAACAAACGATTACCCTTTCCCTCTCTAAAATGGCGTTTTATCAATCAAAAGTAGATATCGAGATATTTTTAATTTGAATATGACCTATTTATTTTCATAATGATTCCATAATATGCGCTAACAAAATAATTGATTGCAAGTACGTAGTTGACAAATTTAATACGATTTTAAACAACAGAAACCCTCTAAAAGTTAGTTCAAATGAACTATAGTCTATAACCGAATAATTGTAATAATATTGATTTTTGAAAAATATATTTTACTGGTATAATTGCAGTTTGCATGTTATTGCATAAATTGTATTAGTTGTAAAAACAAATGTAGAATACATATATATATATAGATGTGAGCTTAATTTTGTCGCACTAATATAAATATAAATATAATTTTAAAAAAACATACTGGGCATGTACATTGTACAAATATTTAAATAAAGAGCACATTTATTTTAATTATTCGATATCCTACAAAGGTTTACATACAAATATAATAACAACATAAAATCTAAAATACAAATTGCATAAATTAATTTAACAAATAATTTTTAATATTATATCGATATTATCTTTAGTTGTTGGTTGCCATCATACATGATGCACATGTTGTATATTAAATCCATTTACTTTTTACTTTTTCTCAAGAAACGAAAATATCTATAATTTTGTATTGTATGTTATTTGTTGAATGCTTAACGGAGGTACATTTCTTTATATTTAAACTGAATATTTCGTGTTAAAAGCATTTTTATTGGTATTGAGGTCATAATATAGTAACGAATTTAGTGTGTCGCCAAACATTGCGTATTATAGGTATGTTTGGTTTGTATTGGGCTTCGGTAAACAATTTTCACGCAATTTCCTTCGAATAAAACCTATTCCGATTACAACAATTCTCCGAATTCTCAGAATACGATTCAATTTTTATGCTTAAACATGGCTAATTTAGATTTTAAACGATTTCGGTGTACATCGTTTCGAATTGCACTTAACGTTTCGACATCTTATTGGTATAGTGCTAGTGCATACAATCTCCCCGAGATCCAAATCTATAAGCTCAAGAGCACACACGCATACATATATAGGTACAAGTACACAACACATAATCTAATATTAAATTATGATGGCGATGATGGTCGTAAAAATAATTTTAACGATAATATTACCTACACGGTGGATGTTATTTACAATAACAATACCTAATAATAATAACGATTACCTATACGTGTTATTTATTATTATTATTACTATACGATAAAGCATAGACATGGGTACTCGGGGTATCGAAAGTCGGGCGGTGCGTAAAAATAGACATAAACGAAAAAATCCGGCCGGTGGTCGACGGGAATTTCGGATTTTGGATAATTTCGAGCCGCCCCCTCCCCCGCCACGTCCCCGGACCGGCGGCGAGTGCGCCTCGACGGATTCAACAGCGGCGGCGGCGGCGGCGGCGGTACGACAACGACGATGGAGGGTCGCCGGCCCGAACCATATATGGCGGGCCGGCCGCGCGCAGGGCCGCCGAGTCGTGGCTGCGGTGGCGGCGGCCACACCGGCGGCGCCCCGAAAATAGTGTTTTGTGCCCCCCGTCGCATAGCCATGTATGGGCGGCGGCTGCCGGTATTTTTGGATCGGTCCCGTTTATAAAACCGCCGGTACCGACCAGCAGAACGTTCATTAGCACATCCACAGCGGATCAGCAGCCACACACTAGCCGCAGACCCGCCGCAGTCGTACAGATTTCCTTCGTCGTAAACCGGTGAGTAGTACAAAGTTTTTACAATATTAGCGGCTGCACACGAGAATAATAATATTATGATAGCAATTCGACGATCTCGTCGAGTGATCCAACGACGAAGAGCGAGAAAATTAAAACGCGATATCATACAATCACTCAAAGTCCGTTTGCAGTTTTTCATAATATTATAATATTGTACTTGGGACTTTGAATGTTATTTGAAAAAAAAAAAAAACCATAAGAAACTATTTTTCTCTCGTTTTTTCATACTTTCGGTTTTACAGTCAAACACTTTTATTTTTCCAAAGTTTCTCTACTCTTATTTATTTCTATTTCGGTACAAACGGACCGTGTAGACGCGATTTTTTGTCGCGTCTTGCTATACGAACGTTTTTAAAATTTCCTCCACTGTTTTCGACGGGTCGTTCGATTTCTGTTTCTTTCTTCTGTTAACGAAATTTCAAATTATATTAATATATACCGAAACGTATTGTAGACTGCGGGCTTCCACGTACCGATAACGTATTACCGATTTTGACGTCCAGTTCACGATCGTAAGTTTATCGTTTTTATGTAATTTTTTTTCCAGGTTCAAAAACCCAAACCAGCAAAATGTGTGACGATGATGTAGCAGCTTTGGTAGTCGACAATGGCTCCGGTATGTGCAAGGCCGGTTTCGCTGGAGATGACGCACCCCGTGCCGTCTTCCCCTCCATCGTCGGCAGACCCCGTCATCAAGTTAGTATAAGCACCCATTTAACCCACCGTTATGTTATGATATAATTTTGAGAGGTTTTCCAAAAATTTGGCTGAAAAAATATAAAATTGCACTTTCCATCTTATTAAACGAATTTCGAAATACAAAAACAAAACACAACTGTTAACTACTACCATAAGGCCCTCCCAGAATTCGTGACCATATAAGGTAGCGTCCCGAAAATAGGACAGCAGTGCCCCGCCTTTCGAACTCTTCCGTAGGCCCTTCGCCAACCCGTCCGTCGGGGTAAAAATAAACACACCGTATGTCGCCAGCTGCGGACACTGTGCGGGAGCCAAAGCATTTTTATTATACTATCGTTTTATATATACATCGAATTTCAAACAAACCCTTCCACCCACCACCTCTTCGACATCACCGTCCAATAAAAATAGATAGCACTTGTGCAACGCGTCTGGAAATACTTGGAGGGGGTCTGGAACATTACAAAAATAAACGTTCCACATCAGCTGGTCCAGTGCACACTGCAATATTGATCACACGTTATAAACTTAGAACGCTAATGTGCAGGCTTTCTCCGAATACCCAGAATTATTATTATTTCACACGATACTTTTCGCTGTAAAATCAATTAACTTACAGTTCCAATTTCCAATAAATAAAAATTGTTTTAATTCAGAAATTATAAAATATATAACTTGATGTTTATCTAATCTGTCCCCGTTAAATGAAATAATTTTTCATGTGAAACTCATTATCGATCACACCTGGAAATTGTATTTACAATTTCTATCTTGGCAATGAAATTTGTCATATTTAAATTATGTTGTCACACACACTGCGAGGGGGGTTTGGGGGCATTGTTTATAAATACTGCTCTATATAGAACTTATATTGTAGATTGGCAACGTTAATCCTATTTAATAGCATTTATGAAATTCTACTT